TCTGGACTTGCTTCAACAGCTCCACATCCTTCTGTTGGAAGCCCTAGAGCTGAACACGGGACTGGAGGTGGGGTCTCATGAGATCTGGAACGCCAGTGAAGAGAACAGTGAAAAGGTTTTGCAAATAAGGGGGTTTTGAGGTGTCCTTTAATTCATTTTGGTCTTTTAATTTGTGAGTCTATGGTTTGAGGTATTTTAGGGTATTTTTGTCTACATGTTTCTAGGATTTGCTGAGAAAATAAAAAGTCAGTTTTCTAAAATAGGAGATGCTTCCTGAAACTTGATATTTTGGATGGTGTACTAATAATAAGGTAATTCTGCAGGAAAGTAATACTGAATAAAAATTAATTAATTCCTATTTATTTAAACATTTAGTTCATTTATTTTGTCAGATCCATACAGCCCCTTTGTTGAAATTGATGGTAAATATGGTAGAGCTGTCCTTTCGGCTCAAAGGCCATGATTATTATTGCTGTTGCAAGCCCTTTTGAGATTTTTCTGGGCATCCTCTCCTCTCAAAGTCATTGCCAGCCATGTTCTGGGCTGCAGCAGCAGAAGTGTGACCAGCAGGTCAAAGGAGGTGATCCTGCCCCTCTGCTCTGCTCTCGTGAGACCTCACTTGGAGTATTGTGCACAGTTCTGGTGTCCTCAACATAAAAAGGACATGGAGCTGTTGGAGCAAGTCCAGAGGGGGGCCACGAGGATGATAAGAGGGCTGGAGCACCTCCCGTATGAAGACAGGCTGAGAAAGTTGGGGCTGTTCAGCCTGGAGAAGAGAAGCTGTGTGGAGACCTCAGAGCAGCTTCCAGTATCTGAAGGGGGCCTACAAGGATGCTGGGGAGGGACTGTAGCGACAGGACAAGGGGTGATGGGTTTAAACTGAAACGGGGGATGTTCAAGTTAGATTAAGTGAGAAGCTCTTCCCTGTGAGGGTTCGGAGGCCCTGGCACAGGGTGCCCAGAGAAGCTGTGGCTGCCCCATCCCTGGCAGTGTTCAAGGCCAGGCTGGACACAGGGGCTTCTAGCAACCTGCTCTAGTGGAAGGTGTCCCTGCCCATGGCAGGGGTTGGAGCTGGAGGAGCTTTAAGGTCCCTCTCAACCCCAAGCAGTCTGTGAATTTGTGATAATTACAAGTGTAGAATAATTTCAGTTTTTAACCCCATGTTGTGACTTCATTCTAAATTAAGGCAAAAATCAGAAACTGATTTGGTGGAGTGCTGTGTTTAAGGATAGTTCCAGTAAAGATTCCCAAAATACAAGTGGGAATGACTTATCTGCAGCGGTGTGTAAATATCATGAACTTTCTTCTTACTACCTATCTTCTATTTTTTTCTTCTTAAAGGTTTAACTAAGGGTAATAACAGCTGTTGCCTCAGTTGGGCTACCATTTTCAAACAGAGGTCATAATTTCTTGAAGGCTGCCTTTCAAAATGTTCAAACAGACCAACTAAAAGCAGTAAATATTAACAGCTCATAAAAAGAGAAGTCTTTGAACCACTTTGACTTCTTTCAGGTGATGCTGTAGCACATGAAGAGTGTGAGAGAACTCCTGGCTGCCTCTGTAATTTCCATCCAGAACTCCTGCTTCATCTACCCTGCCTGTCAAAACTGCTTTTCTAGGCTGATACTGGATTCTAGGAGGTATGTCCTGTTTTGGGGGATCATGAACTGTAACAGGCCTTGGGAATATCTGTTAGCTGAACATAAGTTACAACAAATTGGTGTATATCCAGCCATCAGAGAAGTAAGTGCTAATTTCAGATATTTATGTTCCTTGTCACTATTCAGATCTCTTTGTATGCCAGTAGCAGCTTGGAGGTTGTTACGGATCAAGAGTTCTATTGTGTTCAGTGCCAAGCAATATCAAAGGACAGTTTAGGAGAATAAATGATTTGTGTTAACAGCTTCCAAGTGCATCCCCTCAGTCCATCCAGTTCTCCAGTGCTGTTCCCATGTTGGAGAGGATAGACAGAAAGCCCCTCCAGATCAAATCCTAATTTCTTTTTCATTTCTTCTCATTCTAGATGTGCAGTTCATCAGGTAGTCCTGTATGGCTGTTTCACTTACTGTGTGTTCACTTTCCTTTTTAATCCCACTGTTAGGTAAAATCTATGACACACAGCAGAACACCAATGAATGTCAGCACTAAATAGGAGGAGCTGCCTTTGGAAAGCAGCAATACCTGTTGTTTCAAATGCTGAAGTAAAAGAGAACAGTGGTGTTTCCTGATGACTTTTTAAATCTAAGTGTTACACTAAAGCTGCAGGAAGAAAAAGCCCAAACCAGAATGAAATGTGAAAAAATGGGGGTGTGAGGAATTCAAAATTACTCCCAAACAGGTCATTCAAAGCCCACTGTCTCTCTCCAGCTTCACAGCAGGATAGCATTTAATGAATCAGTGGAAGGAGCCAGAGGGCTTCTGACATGATACAGCCAGCCTGTGGTAAGATTAATGCCCCAAGGAGTAAAGAGTAAGAAATAACCATGTAGTTTGTAATGGAGTATTTGATACATTATAGTAGTGATACTTTCAGCTGCAGAGAAGTTCTTACCTCAGCAGTGATTAACAGAAGCTCACGTATTCAATCTTTTTTATCCTCTTACTGTCTTTTGCCAGGTTTAACTGTCCAAAATGTGGCTGTACAGGTGAGGCCAAGGATGCAGGCTACAGATACAGATTGTCCCTAAAGGTTGCTGACACTAACGATTTGTTTGACATCACCGTGTTTGGAAGTTGCTTAGATCCATTCTTTGGGGTCACCGCAGAAAATCTGCAGAGGTAAGGAAGGGGCTGTTTCTAACTATAGAGCTGCTGCTTTTTCTTCAGCCTAAAAAACTAGAGATGAGCCTGGATGGTGGGGAGACAAGTGGGAAGAAGCTGCTAAAATGCTCCCTTCCAGCATTTCCTTGGTACCCATCACCTGAGAAAATGCTGAGGCTTGGTTTCTTCCTGAAATCTTGGTATTTTGAGGTGGATTACTTCTACATAGTGAAAGAGATCCTTCACTTGTCTAGTGAAGGCACCTACTTACCTGCTAAGTGAGCTTCACAAGTTGGTTGGGCTTCTTTCTTGTGTCCTCTGCCTTTGAGATGGTTGAAATTCCTTTGTCTAATGTCACGTTTCTAAGTAAGTTGGCTTTGCCAGAGATCTAGACAAATTTTTTCCTCAAGATTTTAGAAGAATCTTAAGGTAAAGATGGAGCATTGGGGTTTTTTGTTTTGGGTTTGGTTTTTAACAGTTTGGATTTAAAAAAAATGATGTCATTTCTTCAATATGACCAGATTAGCCTGTAGAAAGGAGGGATTTCTAAGAAAACCTGTTAGTCCTCAGAGCCCAACCACCCACATGATAAGCTTCAGACTTTGTGGTATGTGAAACTGCTGGGACAGGATATTCAGATCCATCCACTGCTTCTTTCTCTATTCTGTTATTTTCCAGTGTCTGGTGTTATCACTGGGTCAGTGATGAGTGCTTTTAAAATCCCACATCAGCAGCATGAATAGTATACTAATGGCATTTGACATTGGTGCACTGCTGTCAGCTCTGAACACCAGAGTTATTTGTGTGTCTGAGTATGGATACTGGTGCTGCTGTGAAGGTGCAAGCAGGAAGGATATGTAAGCCATAGCAGCAGGTTCACAGTATTACACAGTCATTGTGTTGACACAAAATCACACCTGAAAGTCATGTGTATATTAAACCTATTCGGAGTGGTTGTTTTGCTTTCTTCTAGTTCACAAACAAACTAAGTTAACTAAACAATCCAATTTATAGCTTCCTGGTTTCCTGTTTTCATTCCATGTTTAGCTTAAGCTACCACAGTATCTTCTCTTTAACATGTGTCCTACCAATACTACAGCTAAAATGCTATGTCAGGCTTCCTCTGTTGGTCCAATACTTCTGTATGTTTTTACTCAAGGTGTATTCAAGACTTCAATCAGCTGTCAGGGGAAACAAACACAGATGCATCTCAAGCAGTGTTAGTTCAAGCAGTGGAAACCTGTTTCATTGGAAGAAGATTTATATTTGGAGTGAAGGTAACTTTTAATCCACGTTACTCTCTTGTAATGAGTTTTTTTCATTAGCTTGTAGCCAGTTGGGGGCATAAACTGAGTTATCAAAGCATCGTGTACACCATCTTTTGGCAATTTGAGAAAATTTAGGGCTAGGACATGGGGAGGATTCTGTTCCTCTTCCCCCAGACTCCTGTGTTATTTTAAATGAGTCACATCCAAAAGTCATCTTGAATGGCAGTAGTCAGCTTGACAGCTTGTCAGGGCTGCTTTTCAGAGAACCTGAGCAGTGCCAGCTCCTGTAACAGCTTGGAGTCTGTAAAAACCCATGTAGAGTTCAAGCAAGAAACAGACTGTCTTTTCAAGCACTGCCCTAACTTCCCCACGCTGCGTAGTCTCCTGGTGTCTGGAATGTAAGGAGAAACACCTCCCCTTGCAGCAGTTTGATGTTTCACCATGTAAGAGCACGTTTTAAAACGTTGATAAAATACAGCTGTTCAACACAGGTATCTGTGGCTCTTTTATGTGTTTAACAGACTTGGAAATATTAGTTCTTAGTAATATTTCCATGGAGACAAGAGTCTTCAAAGTTCTCTTCAAGTGGTGCTTGTGTGAGTCATTCATATTATAAAGTCTGTGAACTAAACCTTACCTGTCAGGTGCTTTTCCTCTCCCACAGGTACCATGAGGTTTGTATCTGAGCTGAGGTTTTCCTAATGCACAGCATCTTAAGTAATGGAAGCTGGAGAGCTTCATGGATTAACTTTATTTAACTGGAACCATTCACAGGTCTCTAGGTGTGATGCCTTTGCAACTATTATCCTACATATCAACAACCTTGTGGCTGCTCCTGCACACACAAGGACTGAACACACATTCAAAGACCGTTTATTCTTCCTTTGGCTGTAGGCATTTCAGTGCATCTCTCTTCAGCTGTGCAAACACTTGCATACTCCCAGGTAAAAGTCACAATCAGCATAACATACTTATCTAGAAGGGTATTGTCCTTGGTTAAGAGCTTTAGCATCAACCTTTGCCTAGACTCAGGACATAGGAGGGTTCTTGAACTTGAAGACAGCTGTATTTGCTTTTTGCCCTCTCTGGCATTGCCAGACCTTGAGGGGGAGATGAAAAAGGGTTCATCCGCTCCTCAAGATGTTAGAAATTTCCCTCTGCTTTTAATGTAATTAAAACATTCTTCTGTGTGGAGAGAAGCAGGTTCTATAAAGCATTGCAGCTGAAGCTCCTTTAAAACACTACTCTCCAAATGAATCTGGGAAGATCATAGAATCCCAGACTGGTTTGGGTTGGAAGGGACCTTAAAGCTCATCCAGTTCCAACCCCTGCCACGGGCAGGGACACCTTCTGCTAGAGCAGGTTGCTCCAAGCCCCTGTGTCCAACCTGGCCTTGAACACTGCCAGGGATGGGGCAGCCACAGCTTCTCTGGGCACCCTGTGCCAGCGCCTCAGCACCCTCACAGGGGAGAACTTCCTAATGTCTAATCTTAATCTCCCCTCTGTCAGTTTAAAGCCATTTCCCCTTGTCCCGTCCTTACATGACCTTGTCAAAAGCCCCTCTCCAGATTTCTTGTAGCCCCTTTAGGCACTGGAGCTCCTCTAAGGTCTCCCCTTCAGGAGCCTTCTCTTCTCCAGCTGCCCCAGCCCAGCTCTTGTAAGAGAAAAGCACTGGCCGTAGGCAGCTGGCCATCTGCACAGCAATGCACTGGGGGCAGCCCGGAAGCACCCAGTGCCCTAAAGCGAGGAAAACATTTTCAGTGAAGTTCTGTCTTGGAATTCTTGGATGTTTTTCCAGCTCCAAAACTCTGTGTAATTGCAGCAAGCAAAGAACCTCTCACTGTGATGCCCTTTATAGCTCTTGCCAGTGCTTTTTTCCCAGGGAGTACTGCTTTGTGAGACAGCCTCTTTTGTATTCTCTTCCCTGCAGATCCTGTCAAAAAATTAGACCTAAAATTAAGCCTGGCTTAAAAGACACGTGTTGATTTTTCTCTTTCATTTTCTATCCCAAAATACTGTACTAAGTTTTTTACCTCCCCTTTCCCCCACCAGGGTTGGGCAAGGGAAGATGGAGGCCATTCTGCTGCCAGCAGCATCCTGCAGAACTGCTCCAGAATTAATAGAAGTACAAAAACCCTTACAGCTTGCCAGCTCTTCCTGCCAAACACTGCTGTTACTGGCTTTACTGTTATCAGCTGCTTCCATCGGCTCCTGCAGTCAGCAAAACTCAGGAGCTGTAGTAACAGCTCAGATTCACCTGACACATCAGCAGCTCCAGCAGAGGAACCTGTCAGTGAGCTCAGCAGCTTGTCTGGCCTGAGCAGAAACTCCTGCTCTGCTCAGTCTAGTGGCAGAGAAAGTTCTTTATGGTCCTGGCAGCAGTCCTTCAGCCTGACTTCATCTGTTGCTTGGGTAACACCGGAAGACTTTCCCACTCTGGAAGTGGGAGAGCTGGTGAGTGAACAGCATGAACAAGAGGGGAGGCCTGTCCCTGCAGAATCGTGCAGTGTGAGCCCAAACAATCAAACTCTCTGGGATTCACCATTTTGCAGCTCTGCTGTGAAGGGAGGGGATAAAGAGGAGTGTGATGAGTTGAGTGCACAGCCTAATCGGAGTGACGGTATCTCTGCAACTGATAAATTAGAGAGAATATCCTCTTCAGAGACTGAGTGTTCACATGGAAACAGTTCCAGGTTGTTACAACATCCCTTGGAACTTGGGGTACAGAGCACTTACCCGAAGACTGATGGTATAAATTATTCTTGCCCAGAAACATCCCACAAATCACTTTTATACAAGAGAGATGCCTCAGCTTCTGGTCACGTAAATGTGTCTCAGATGGACTCTGTGCTTTGGGACGAGCTCCCGTTCTCAGAAAGCCTAAATGAATTTTTAGCCAGAATAGAAGAAGGCAAGAGCATCGTAACATCACCCAGTGTAGATGCAGGCAAACATCTGCCTGCCCTTCTTGAAAGCAGCAGGTTGGGTGTAAATCTTAACGAATCATGTCCCAGGCAAACCCTTGTAGCTGCTGATTTACCTGAAGCAAGTGTCTCCAGGAAGCTCTTGCCACCAGCAGAGAGTGATAGCTGGGAGAACGTATTGCTTGCTTGTCTTCAGTCACATGCAGATCCACAGAGTGGTGAGGTATCACAGCATGAGTCTTCCTCTAGTGCTTTATCTGACAAGGAATCTTGCTTTATACCTAACCCTCATCTACCTGTTCTGTCACAGTCCTTGCCCGTTACACCAGAGCCTTCTGTTTCTGAGAGCAGGTATGTGCAGTCCAAAGCAGCAAATAAGGACATTTCAAAGTCATCTTGGTTCTTTATTCATCAGTGTGCTGCTAAACATGGAGAAACCTCCTGTGTGAAGAGGAGCAAGGCAGCTCCCTGTGTGCATTCTGCACGTGATAGCTGCTTAGCTGGTTGGGAAAATAAAGAAAACTCTTCTTCTACACCAAGCCAAAGACCAGATCTTACACTCACAGGGACATGGGACTCTGATGCAGCAGCACCCAGCAATACAGGAAGGATTTATAAAAGAGAATTAAAACCATTGGCAGAAGTGTCAGAAAACACCTTCAAAAGTGCTAATAGGAGAGAGACACTGTGGAACAGTATCTTCCCTGAAGGCAGCTACGATGCTTCTGCTGATCTCTTTGATGCAAGTACAAGAGAGGTAGCGAAACCTGTTGAATTCTTAAAGCAAGCAGGTAATTCTTTAATAAAGGAAGATGATACTTTGACAGAAAAGGTCACAGCTGCTGAATTGGTGCTTTACGGTGGAGATGTTTCCTGTGACAGTTCAAAATGGAGCTCGTCCCGATACAGGTCCCCTCCTGCTTTTAGGAAGCACAGTACACCAGTAACATCCTCCTTTTGTGATGCACAATGCAATTCAGTCAGTGCTCGAGACTTTGTTCCTTATTCACAGTCCACTCCTATGGCAAAACCTCTCCAGAAGCTGTGGCCTGGTGGGGAAAGAAGCTCTTTTCTCACTGTCTTCACCCCTACAAATCCCAGGAAGATCCATTCTAAATGCAAGCGGTCTAGGTCTGCCTTTCAAAACACTCTGCTGCAGCAGCTTACCGGCAGGTTAGTGAAACATGGGAGGCCAAGTAACAGTGGAGACAAGGAAAGCAGTAGCTCTGTGTCACAGCAGTTCCTTCGCAGCCAGCTGCCTGCCAGCTGTGAGGAGTGGATCCCTCCTTCTGCAAACAAAAGGTTGAAGCCATCTGCATCTTTACCTTTAAAAGCGGTCGGGCTGGCTCCTGACGTGCAGGTGACCTGTGGGCACACGGGCAGGAACCCTGCTTCTGAGAGCAAAGAGAACAGTGAGAATGATGCTCGCTTACAGGATGAGAGGCTAAGCCCTGGGGACACAGCCTGGATTCTAACAACTCCTGCATCTGCTGGTGTCACCGAGGCCTTGTTCTTCAGTGATACAGTGCTGGAAACTTGTTCCCCTTCGGAAGGCAAGACTCTCCTCTCAAGTGCTTGTTGCTCAGGGAGGGTACCTGGAGGGGCTGCTGGCTGGTCTCCTGAGTTGTTCTTCCAAGCACAAACCCCTTTTTCCTATAAGCCAAAACACTAAAAAAAGGGTATATCTATGCTGTGTTCTTTCTAATTATTTGTAAAACTCTTGGGAAGGAGCCAGAAGAAAAGCTATTTAATAACTGTTTATGCACCTATTGGCATATGTCTTCCTGAGATGAGTTGTGTTTATTTGCAGATCTTTGTACCACAGAAATGGGGGGGAAAACAGAATTTCCACTTCAATTTTACTGTACATGTACTCTAGGCTGTGCAATAAAGTAATTTGTAACTGGGTATTTAACAGCTCTCACTTTATCAAGTACAGGTAAGTGAAGTGTTGTAGCACAGTGTTGTCTTTTTGTCATGAGAACAGCCCAGGGCCCGTTGAGCTCTCCTGCATGCCAGGATCACCCCTTGAGTAGGGACACCTCGCAAGGTTACTCCTCGAGGTTGAGAGGGAAGAGTACCTGAAATCAAACCATCTGAGCAGGGTATTAGTGAGCTACAGTAGCTCCTACCAGGGGTACGGGTGTGCTGAGTCTGCAGGCGTTCCTGCAGGCTGACCAGAGGAAACAGTTCCTCATGGCTGCACACGTACGTTCACTTCAGAGAAGTTTCTCCATAGCAGTCACTGTTGGATTGGGTTCTTTCACTGCTTACTTCCTTATAGTTGAGGAAATTGAGGCACACGTTCAAAGGCTTGCCCAACGTTAAGGAGCGTGGAGCCTAGCTCTGGCCATCACTGAAAGACTTTAACCAGCAAACCCTCTTTTCTCCTCCCTGTCCTACCCAGCAAGATGCTTGAGCACAACCCAGAAGTTCTTCCCAGTGTTTAAGGATGCTGCAGCAGTGGACGGTGGCAGCAAGAGGCTCAAGGTCTATTCTTACAGACCAAGCCTAGATCTCTGCAGTCCCTGGATCCTAGATGTAAAAAGAAGGAAAAGGAACATCCAGTTATAGCAAGAAGGGACAGAATTAATAATGTGATGATCAAAGTAACTTCAAGCTTCGTAGCTGTGAATGGTGCCACTGAAGTGCTGTGCCAGTGACACCAGCCTGCGCCGTGAAGGATACGCAGGTTCCTGTGCTGGGTTTCTTGGCACAGCCAAAGGGACACAACAGTAACAGAAGACACAAGACAGGCTCTGTGAGGAGAAGCTCTTCCCTGTGAGGGTGCTGAGGCGCTGGCACAGGGTGCCCAGAGAAGCTGTGGCTGCCCCATCCCAGGCAGGGTTCAAGGCCACGTTGGACACAGGGGCTTGGAGCAACCTTGGGGCCAATTGGGTCTAGGGGAAGGTGTCCCTGCCCGTGGCAGGGGTTGGAACTGGATGAGCTTTAAGGTTCCTTCCAACACAAACCATTCTATGAGTCGATGATTTACAAGGTGTTGCTGATGCTCAGCTGAGCTTTCACCCTGTGTTTGACAGCAAGTCAGAGCTCCAGAAGTGCACAGGGTGGCTGCAGACAGGATAGTGCAGGCTCTAGGGTGAGCTCTTACCAGTGCTATTCCTGTTCAGAAGATGTTATTGATTGCACATAAAATCCTACTTGATGAATCTATGTTAGGGGTAAAAGGAGTAAGAAATGTAGCCTGCCTGGAAATGGTAAATCTGTGTTTATAGCTTAAGTAGAAGAAACAAAGGAGAAGACAGCATTATTCATACCCAAATCACTGGGCACAGGGAAAGGCAACATTGAAAAAGTTTTAAGACATCAGTGCTCAAACAAATAAAGCATTAAACTAGTTGTTTCTACTACAGCCTCCCAGATAATACGAGGCTGCAGCATCACGGGCCCTTTAAGCACTCCCTTGTGATGAACTGGACGAGCTCTCACTTTGTCACGGGGGTTAGAGCTGGTCCAAGTGGTACACCAGAGGCTTGATGCAGCTACCTATGAACCACTGCCAGAGCTGCTACATCATCAACCTGACAGCATCTTGCCATGGGATGTTTTGTCCAGCATGAGTGATTTTATTCAGTAGACAACTCATCTGCACTCCGTGGTAAGCGATAGCTCTGGCGCAAGCTGATGTGATGGTAATTATAAGCTTGCACAAAAAGAGTAAAGCTCAGCATGTTTCATTCTGAAGGTAATAAAGCTCCTGAAAACAGACACTGGGTCTGTGGCTGATTCCCTGTGCAGAGAAAGCCGTAAATCAAGACTGGGGTTTAAATTAGGCAGGACTGTCTGTACGATGCCACTGGAAACAATGCAGGGCAGCCAGAGCTTGCGTCGTGCAAGGAGACTGCACACACAGAGCGAGACCAAAAAGTACTGCTGTGTGACAGGGCACAGGATGGTATCTATCTTCTGGGC